ACCCCGGATGTTAAACAAAGAACCCTCTCGCATTACCGTAAGAGATACCGTCACGATACCATTCCGATATAGAAGTACAAGCACTTTATTGAGGACGGTGCCACTTTTCCATTACTGGCATAAGTCCAACTTCCAAGGAAAGCAGTTGTGTTCAAAGGTTAAGGCAAGGAGGACGACATCTGTTCTGCTCAGTAACTTTCCTATTCTGTTGCTGTTGAATGCTGTGTTGATTGAGCTGATTGGACTTTTTTTTCAAAGCTTTCCGGGCTTTCCGAAAATTCTTATTCTCAAACTGAGCCTCTGTTGCTTCGCTGCAGAAACAGCGTTCCATGAAGAACACTGATGTAAGAAAAAGAAGGCCAATTTTTCAGATCTCCTAAAATATTAGGATTTAAGATTCTTCACAATGTCTGGATCCGGTTCATCGCTGGTATAATACAAAATTAGTTATTTCAGGTGATATCACTCAGAAAGGCTATGAGAAAAAGCGGAATCTACTATTAGCAAAGTACAGCAAAGGCTGCAGTGCAGGTTGGATAATCATCACTTTCTCTTTTTTTGCGTTTTCGGTGAGGGAGGCTATAGTGGCCATTCATATCTCTCCAAGGTCATTTCGCACTCGATATGGCACTTGTCGGTTGCGGGACGAGGGTACTCATCGTTTTAGCCGTGAAGGCTGAGTGAAATCAATGCCATCAGCTTTTCGGGGATCCATTACTTGCCCTTGTTCGAGTTAGCACAAAGCATAGTTTTCGACTCTTCTCCATTACTATCAGCTCTGAGCGCCCTCTCTATTTTTTTTCGTGTTTTCTGCCTTGACAGGGTGGTAATCAAGCAATAGCTGAATGTTAAGGTCCCGGCCAGTCGAAAAGTAGTCCAGGTTCTCGTGCTCACCGACAGCATCAGCGACGTCTCACCAGAGATGAGTCACGATTCCATTCCGGTACGTTCGAGCATGTGATTTGCCAGTTATTTGTCAGTTTCGGTCGTTAACATCCATTTTATAGCTCTTACTTGTAACTGGTTATACATTCCACAAGGCAGCTTGTTCTAGTTAATTTCTCTTAACTCGATTCCCAGGCATACGCTGAAAAATTGCCCAGGTCCTACGAATCAGGGGCTGGTTTGTTTATAGGTCATGGTCACTATGGTCAGTAAACTCAAATTCTTGGTCAACTTGTGCCGTGCCACGTGGCCTATCTCACGTCATAGTTCCGTGAGGAAACCGGGAAAAGTAAACAATAGAAACTTGCGCTTGGGACAAAACCTTATTAAGGTTGGATGAACCACCCCTTTCTAACCGGCGAGTGAACGTGATTCCTAATGGCCCCATGGGAGTCTTCAATAATGACAAAAGCGCTCGTGAAAAGAAAAGAACCAGCTATCAGAGAAGGACAGTTTAGACCCTTCCCCTCCAGCGACCACTGGATACGACTCCTCGAGCGTAGTG